GCCTCTGTAGGTGGAAAAGGCGAAAAAATAATGTAAGAGTGACCCAGATCTCCAAATGTCGGCAAACAAGCTCGTATGCCCGGATGAAGGCCACGAAATTGGGGTGCAGCTGTGAGGGGGCCAACTTCAGCCAGTCGAAGACGCCCAGCTGGAAGTCGGTGAAAGGCAGCCTAAGACCGACCTCGCGGAAGTAAAACTCATACATCGGGAACCTCATCTTCCCGCACGTCGAGCATACCCGATGATAGTCTCTTGGTCGGCACACCCGCCAGTAAATAGGAGAGCCCTCGCAGCGGTCTTTGATAGTCGCGTAGGCGCCAGTATCGTTGTCGACAAAGTAGGACGGTGTATTTAATGGTTCCTCAGCAATCCAGTCCTCAACAGGACGAGCACGCACCTCAGCAACGGGAACCTCCGGCTCCACATCGATTTCCATGGTCCTCGGCACCCACAAGGTCATATTCACCTGAAAAGCAGAAGGAAATGGTGAATTCGACATTCAAGTTCAAATTCACCCTTCCACCACAAATCAATTGAAAGGACGATGGGGACGACGACCACAACTCGCGTGGGAGCTCGCACCCCACGTCGTCCATCTCTGCTCGGGCATCCTTCCCCGGGGCATCCATCTAGTCTTATTCAGCGTTCTTGGGGCGCTCATCTGTCCTATCCTATGTCCCCCGGGCGTTCATCCAGAACTGTGCTTCGCCCCCAGGGTACCTATTATCATCAAGTCAACCATCCCCGAGACATTCATCCTACAACCCCAACTATCCCCGAGGCCTTCATCATAAGTTAAAGGGTACGCCGCCGTATTCGACGAAAAACCCTCGCCCTTCTCGGGGTATTCATCATGTCCCCGACGACGGCATCAAATTTAAAGAAAATAGAATAATAGGGGTGAGAAACTTACCGGATCGGTAGAGATGGCGGAGTACGCGACGGACGTTATGATGGCGTTGGTGAGCAAATGCGTGTGCGGAAATCCAAGCGTCGCGTGCGAAAGTGAGAGAATGCGAAAAGTGGTAAAGGGGCAGCCTTTTGCCTATTCAAAAACCCACCACGGGACTCGAAGCGCCCCTAGGCACTCGAGTACCCTAGCGTAGCCGCCCTACGTGGCCCATTGACTATTAGACACACGGCCACCACGAACAGTCACGTCCCTTCATTCTCCCATGCAAGCACAGACAGGCGAGGACACGCAAACCCTCCCCCTCCTCGACCTGACGGCCCGACAAGACCGGGATCCTCGCACCCGCGTCCTCAATTCGGCAGACCGACAAAGGTTCGTCCTCGCGCCTTCTTCCTCCCTGACACAGTATCGACAAGTCCTCACTCCTTTGCTTTGGAGCTACGACTTGGGGGGCTCCTGTTCTGGATTGGGCCCAGGTCTGCCCATCTGCCGGAAAGGCCTAGCCAAATGCCATTTAGATAAGGCCTAAATCCCCAGTGTCGGGCACGGGTCTAGGCACCCCGGGCAGGCTTCCTCCCCCCGTCAGGCAGAACAACACGTCTTCTACACGTTCTTCACGTGCCCCCTCCGTGCAGACACGTCATCAGACAACTATCCACCTCCAAAAGAGCAGGTCAGCCCACCTTCCGAAGATCACGGGACATTTGATCTAGGGTGAAGACCATGTGCTAGTCTTCACTACACCATGTAAGCCCTAGTAGTCACTTGGGTTGGGCCTGACCATCCAACCCAACGCAAGTGACCGTTGGCCCTGCGCTGGGGTCTCTCTATAATACCCTCTTTCACTAGAGGGTCAGGTATTCAATTCTCTATCTCTCTTCTGTATTTGCTTTCACTTTGGTCCATTACTTACTTTGGTATCAGAGTGTCTTGCAGGTACACCCCCTTCCTCCTCCTTACTTCCGGTGAACAGCCTTCAGATCGACGACGCGTGGCAGGTCACTGATTGCCTTCTGATTAGGTAAGATCAGTTTCCTTATACATTCTTTACTCTTCAAAATACTTTTCCAATCCTTTTTGTTAATGACAGGGGGGAGAAGAGTTGTACGGTGTTGTTTTTACTTTTCTAACATAAAATGCAGATTTTCAAAACTCTCTAAAATCATGGATTAAGGGGGAGCATCATCCAAGGGGGAGCTTTTTGTTAGAATATCACAAAGAAAACAAATTTTCAAAAGGTAGTTGTCATCATCAAAAAGGGGGAGAATGTGAAGACATGGCTTCTCAAAGGTTTTGATGACGACATATATTCCTCGGCTCAAGGATGGATAAAAGAATTTTCAAAGGATCAAGATCAAGAACATAGACCATAATTGTCAAAGTAATGTATCAAGTCTTGATAAAACATGAAGATGGTTTATCACAAAGGAAATGTATAACATTCAACCTTTATATATTTTATGCAAGTGTTCAAAATCTTTCTCATACTTTGCATATTCATTAGAAATAGTTTTGTGCATTTTCAAACCATTATGCCTCTGTTTTTAAGGTATTTTTGCAAATATGGCTTAGAGTGCAACTACTTGAAGATAGAATGCAGTAGGCCAAGTCGGAGATATCGATTGAGCTTGCATCGCGTCTCCAAGTGCTTCTTGCGCCATGTCGTTCATCATGTAGCATAGGCAGCGCCTTGCATACACAGTCGGTGATACCATGGTTCCCCCATCGATGAACTACACAAAAGAAGTACCCTGAAGAATTTTTAAATTTTTTTAAAACGTTAGAGGCATGTAATCGATTACCCACTTTAGGTAACCGATTACCACTGACGCAGAAGGCCAAAAACTTGCATCTTTTGGAAGAAACTTTTGTATTCTTATATTCTTGAACCATGACATCTCTTGGACAATTACTCTCATGTGAAGAGGTGTTTAAAGGCTATATAAACCTCATAATCTTAGACTTTGAGATTCACCTTCTTGCAAATAATTTTCAAACATTTCCATTATCATTAAACTTTCAAATTCTCAAGTGTAAAAATCAGAATTTTCAAAGAGTGAAACTCATGCATTTAAACTTTCATCCAAATCATTCTAGTTTCATTCTTTCATCTAAGAACACTTGTATATTATGTATAAGAGTTGTTATTTCAAGAAGAAGATCAATCTTTAGATTGATAATTGAAGATCAATTTCAAATACTCATACAAAATTCAGAATTATTCTTTGCTTGTTACATCTCTTCAGGATTGTTGAATTTAAGATTGTAAAGTTGTAATCCTTGTTGTCCATGATTGTTGAAAACAAGAGAGTGATTAAGGAAGGATTGTTATCTTAATTCACTTAGTTGTAAAATCCAAGAGGTTGTTCATGTGTGCTTGTTAGAGTCTGTATAGAAAGGCTAGGATAGTCTTGTCATAAGATCTAACATTATTAAAAATCTCTTTCATGTTGAAAGGGAACTGGAGTACTCTCGGACTGTGAGGGGAATCGGAATATATCACAGTGTCATTTATTTTCCGCGTTTATCGCTTTCATCATATAGTAATCAATTAGGAAAGTAAAACTTGAAACCATCAAAAATCCGGAAAAATATTTAAGTACCTAATTCACCCCTTCTTAGGTGCAACCTTTACTTACAACAGATACATATCGGGTACCAATATGTGCATGGTATACGTATAGTGCGTATCAAAATCGTATCAATTTTTTATTTTTATTTTTAAAATTGATAAACCAATCGATACATATTTGATACCACATATCCAATTTTTTTAAAAAAAAATTCTTCCTATTGTATAAGTTGGGTTTTTTTATCGAGTAACAATTAGATTATTTATTTTGTTTGTAAATAAAACAGTGAAAGAAAAATCAAGTCTTATCCCTTCTTTTCTCTACGTCTCACCTGTTGGTACTATTCTCACATAACTCTATGCATAATGAAAGTTTCAACCTTTATAAAAGAAAGGTACTATACTACTATACACATGAACTATATACCTTTTTTTAAATTATATTAGAGAGAAAAATAGTTGTTTTATGATTTATTAATATTTTTTAAGGATGATTTATTTGTGTTATCGTGGAAATATAAATTTTTTAAAGGAAATTGTTTTTTATTTTAATTATTTATTGTTATTTAACTTTTTTTTTTGCTATTTTTATAATTGTATTAAAATAAGAGTTAAATATGTGTGATCCTTTTAAATATCTCAAATTTCGTTTTTAGTCTCTTAAAATATTTTCTTCAAAGAATAGTTCTACTAAAATTTTACATGACACTTTTGATTTTTAATATTAAAACCGTTGCTAATTCAGTCAATAAATTAAAAATCGTCGTTAATTCTGTCGCTAAGTTGCAAAAGAACTATAAAAGTTGTAAATTTTAAAACAACTATCACTAAGTTGAAAAAAATATTTTAAAAAACTAGAAACGAAACTAAAATATTTATTAAAACTATAAATATATTTAACCCTTAAAAAAAATATACCGATGTATCAATATCTTAGTTTTCTTAAAAATAGTGTACTTCATACCAGCATCCGTATTGGGTACATTCTCGAAAAGTTCTCACACCAAATCATCCTAGTCCAAGTTATATTGGAAAATGTGAGTTAGCGACAAAATGAGATATAAAAATGAGCGTCCATTTTCTTTTTCTATTGCTTACATTGCAGTCTCTGCTGCAAAATCGAGTCACATGTCAAAAGCTATGGCGAAAGAAATTGCGGGCATCACCTTCAAAAATTAATCTAGTTTACAAAAATGGTCAACTTATGTTTAGTTAAAAATTTACACTCATAATTAAGAGAGAATTGAAACCACTTGATATTAAAATTCCAACTAGATTAATCAATTTAGTGGATCTGGTGAAAAAAATGTACACTCCTAACTAGAGAAATATCACATCTTTATAAGAAACTCAAACATTTGAGATTCACAATATAAGACCAAAAATTGAAAAGAAAAATTCAGAGGGGCCATATCCATCACAATCATGAGTCTAAAGGAAAGTTTCAATAACCATGCTTAAAAAAATTTGGTTGGTAAATAAGGTAGAGAAAAAAGATAAACACTATATACAGTTTCAATTTCTATGGTTTCTAGTTTCCAGTGTTGTTCCATCTTTGAGACTTTCCTGTGCATCATTGTCCATGCCAAGACTAGAGAGTGCAACTGCTTGAAGATAGAATGCAGTAGGCCAAGTCGGAGATATCGATTGAGCTTGCATCGCGTCTCCAAGTGCTTCTTGCGCCATGTCGTTCATCATGTAGCATAGGCAGCGCCTTGCGTACACAGTCGGTGATACCATGGTTCCCCCATCGATGAACTACACAAAAGAAGTACCTTGAATGAATTCCTCTTTTGATAATAGGATCTTGATATTGGTAAAGTTTAGCTGACTTACTTGCGTATAGTAGTCAATGGCTGTTGAGAAGTCTCTCGCGATAAAAGCAGAATCGCCGCGTTTCTTGAAATTTAGTGTATCTTGTATTTGATTTGTCCACATTTGAAAGGACAGCTATGATACGATGAAAGTTATACACGGTTATACTAAGTACTACTATAAAAGAACAGTCTCAAAATCTACGTTGCACTAACACTTTAGATTGAAGACGTATCTGGTGTCCAACACCAAGACATCAGGTTATTTTACGAACTAAAAAACCTACAAGCTACAAGCAATGAATTACCTCATTCGCAACATGTTCATCGTCCTTGTACCCGACCTTTTCCAAAATTTCATGTATTGCAGTCAGGTCTCTTCTTGAACAAGCTTCGCCAAAAGACGTTAACGAAACTGTTTCTTTTGATGATAGACTCCTATCCGGTAGGCCCATTAAAACATATGACACAACCTGTTGCATGTTATAAACACTTATAAGCGCTTAATTAAGCTGTTTTTCTAAAGAAGACCTGTGTAAATTTTGATTCATAGAGAGAAAAGGAAGGACATACAGAAGTTTCTTTCTGAAGGGGGGTCAGAGCAGTCACGAGTGACTTGGCATTTGGTCTCTCACGAGGTTCATATTGTAAACAACGCGAAGATAATCTCACTATCTCAGTTCCATCATCATTTGAAAAATGACCTTCCAAACCCGAGTCCATCAGCATTTGAAAATTTTTGCCTCGTATAAGGTCAAGTGCCTGCACGTAAAGGAAATACGGCCCATATTTACTTATGAGTTAAGACAATACTGTGATCATTTAAACCCGAACCATCATAGGGTGTTACTTGAGAACAAGTATAGTTTAACCAAATACCTTACACAAAAAATACCACCAATTATCAAAATCAGGGTCATTTTTGAGTGCGTGCAAGGCAGACTACCGCACAGGGCCCAAAGTTTATCTTTGAGTGCGTGTAAGGCAGGCTACCACACAGGGCCCAAAGTTTATCATGGTTAAACTGTGGATAAATAAGGCCTCTATATGTTTCATCTTAGTTAGACTGCGGCTAACCTACACAAGGCCTCCAAAAATTTAAGACGATTCTGATAAAAATAAAGACAAGAAATGGGATTGAGGGAGCATACATGACTTGGTGGAATATGCTTTCCACTTAAAAGATCAAGCAATAAGGTGCCAAAACTGTAGATTACACTCTCAGGGGTGATTCTTCCTGCCAAATTTCAAAAGGTGTTGTAGAAATAGCTTAAATAAAAACCGTTTGACTTTATTTTATCTTTTGTTATAGAAATAGCTTATACTTAAGCACTTATCTGATGAGCACTAAGTTAAATTGTTTATCCAAATAGGGCTTAAACCATTTACTACCTGTTCTCAAGTACTCTGGAGGAGTGAATGCTAAATTTGTACTATAACTTCTGCCATCTCTACTGTTTTTCATGAGTCCAAAACAAGAGAGTTTAGGGTTTCCTTCCTGCCAACCATCGAACCATCGGTATCATGTAAGAGATGTAGTTTATAAAACATAATGAAATGATTCGATAAACTCGGATACAAAAGCATAAGTACCTGATCAAATAAAATTCTATAAGCATTAAGATCATGGTACAGTGCCCTTCCTCTACTATTGCAGTATTCCAAGGCTTGTGCTAAATACAAAGCCACTCTCAATCTCATTGCCCATTTCATCGGTTGGGCTTCCCCTACCAAGACAATTCATACAAATCATAAAATCAGTGGCTTAAATCAAAAAGGAAGTCCAATTGATTGAACAAATTAAAAATTTATATTTGAAAACATAGTATTAAGTGTTTAGTTCTCCGGTTATTAAAACTGATTTTAAGTGAATTGATTATGCAAATTTAATTCTAGTTAAAAGTGAGTTGAAGGGAAAGTGATTTATGTTCGAATAAATTTATGTAGAAGAGTAGAACAGTAAATTTCAATGTAAAAATCACGTTTAAACTCAAAAGCTACGAATTCTAGCTTCAAACTGAATCAATTCTACTTTAGATGAACCAAACACCTCAATATCATTCCAAAATCAATTCTACTTCTAGAATTGCTTTTGCCTCTTCCAAAAGTTAAACCAAACATACAGTTTCCAATTCTACTTTAAAACAACCAAACAGGTCAAAATCAATTCTACATCTCTAAAGACTATTCCAAAAGTGAAACCAATATTGAGGCTAAAAACCAATGGTAGTGACAAAAGCATAATCTTTAGATTCAAAATCAGAAATTTTCCTAAGGTGGGATAATCAAAAGAAAGAAAAACTTACAATGAAAAAGATGCTTAGAGAGAGTTTCATTTGGCATAAACTCAGCAACAAGCAATCTCTCATCTCCATCACAGCAACAACCAATCAAGTTAGCTAATCTTTCACTCCTCAACTCCCCAACAGCTCGTGCTTCCTCCTAAAAAAACACTCCAACAAAACACACACAACAACAAAAACAACATTAAATCAAACAAAACAAAAAGGCCAAAAACCCAAAAAAACATAATCAGAACCAGAAGCAGAGAAACGAACAAGGAATTGTCGAGAATCAGGCCAAGCAGATTTGTTGAAACGCTTCACAGCAACCAACCTATCCTCTTCAAGACAGCCTCTATAAACAACATTCGGAGCTTTTTCTCCATGTTCAGAAACAATGTTGTCAGACGAAAATCCCTCGGTGGCAACTCTAAGTTGATCCAAACTAAACTCAGTGAAACCAACAGAAGGATCCTTCAGCTTCTTGCTCCCACCAACACCATCATCATCTGTACATTATTACCCAGAAACGAATTTGAGTTAAAAACTAAAACTTTATCATATAACAAAAAAAGGGTTGCTGTATTTTTCTGAGTTGTCACCATTATCAGAGAGATTTTGATTATTTGATTTGATTTTGGAAGAACAGCAGCATAGAGAGTGTTTAGAGCAACGAACTCCCATTGGTGAAAATGTGAAGGAAAAAAATGGAAGAAAGTTTGGAAAAAAAGTGAGTTACTAAAAGGAAGAAGAAAGTGATTGCAGCTACAATGAATTGTGTGTCAGTTACCACTTCTATTCATCATTTTTCTCTAAGCTATGTGAGAGTGTTGATGTGTTTTCTATTTACTTTATGTATAGAAAAATAATAAAAGTTATATAATAATTTGAAAGGAGTTTAAATTTGGGAACAAATCTTTTTTTTTTCATAATGAAATGTTTATAAAGTGAGTCGAATAATAAAAGTTATGTTTAGTAAAAAATTATAACATTTTTAATTTCAAATTCATAGTAACTTTACTTTTAAAAAGTTGTTGTTTTCTTAAAATGAATAATAATGGTTCAACATTTATATGGCATTAGTATAACATAAAACTATATGCATATGAGTCAAGAGAGATCCATATATATCATATAAGAACATATTATGTTTTGGAAAAGACAAAAAAACCCTTCTTCCTTCACAACATGCCACATCATGGATTATCCATCTTTTAGTAAGTGTCGTACCAACTTCTATGATAAATAAGAAATACATTGCCTCTCAAAAACAAATATTATCTTTAAACTCTACTTTTAATATTATATATCATTTTGATTTGAAAAATCACAATACATTTTGTTTTTTTAATGTTTGTGCAAACTATGAATTCAACTTCTTTCTCAATCACAAACGTCTACTCCTATTATATTTGGTGAATTTTTCAGCATGCCCTCTTTCTTTTCTCTCCCATATCACACATTTTTTTTCTTTTTAAAATCCCTTCGACTGCATACTTCATTTTCTCCATCTTACATCTTCCATTTTCTACCTCTTTCTTTACAAACTCTTTATACTCAAATATTTCTCTATTTTTTGTTTCTTTCTCCCATTCTTCATGGCTCGATATTTTGAGACGATTATCGACATCAATGACACGAAAGAACTGTAGAAGATCAGTTAAGGTGCACCATGACAGATTTTGTTCGGTTTGTAGTTTTTCACTCAGATTTGATTTTTTTCACACATGTGATGATCTATTTCAGTTATGCGATGTATGATTTTGTTTTAATTTTGTTGCAAAATAGTTAGCTATGGAAAAAGTCATCGATAAAGTTATCGGATATGCAATGGCTTATGGTGGTACCACTGGATCTGAAATCGAAATTATCGAAACCACCAGATTTTCTATGAAGTATCAAAAAGAAGAAGAGGAAACATGTCTCTACAATAAAAAAAGTGAAGTGTTGAAAATGTTGAGTTTCACAATTTCTTTATTAAAATTTTCTCTATTCTTCCTTACTTGAGCTTTAAAAAATGTCTCTATTTTCATTTCAACTATGTGAATTTGTAATAATAGTATTCTTTTGTTTGATTGTTTGTGAGATCAATATTTAATTTTTTTTTTCAACAAAAATCATTACCATGTAAATGTAAATGTTTTAGCATGGTATTCCTCCATCTTTCTGTTTTGATATGCCATTTTTCTCAATTTACAGATCTAATTTGTAAAATTGGTTTTGCAAAAATCAAAGAAGATCTGAATATTTTATTTCTTTCCTTTTTTCAAATATTTTTTCTCTTGGCATGCAAAAATGCAAAGAAAAATGAATTAAATGGATTTGATAGATATGTAGCATTTATTTTTATTTTTTTAATTTTTTACTTATCTTTGATCTTCATGGTTCATGTTTAAGTGGCTTTTGCAAGAAGCTTGTTTTATGACACAACAGACAATAACCTGCAAAAGTAATTATTCTTTTCTCCTTACACTCTTTTGTTTCTTTTCCTATACCGATTTTTACTTGAATTTTAAACGTTATTCCATACAATATGCTTTGTTTTCAATGCTGAATTTGTGATTATTGTTTACTAGTTAGATTCATGTTTCATGATTAATGTTTTTTTTGAAAGTTCTATTATCGCTTACAACTTAATTTTGGTCCATATATAGTTATTCAAGGAAAAAGGACATTCATAATTAGTTATGTTTTCTTTACTTCATACTGCTAATTATATTACATTTTTTTGACATAGAAAATACTTTTGTCTTAGGTTTTCGTTTCATGTCTAAATTGTGAAAAATATTCAAGCGTACTATGCCCAAGGAAGCCAGATGTACTGAAGTGAGCCATTATAGATTGTCTTGTAATTTTACAGTCACTATTTTGTCATTGTTAATGCCAGATTTAGAATCTCTATTTGAATTTAAAAAAGAAACATTTTCATAAACTTCATTTAGAGAAAATCCTGTATCAGGAATTAAATCATAGGATTGGAATATGAATGGAACAAATTCCATATATCACGCATTATACCTAAATTTTATGGTACTAGAGGAGATGTTGTTGCGGATATTGCACATGATGCTATTATTGGTAATCTTCTTGTATTTCATTTCTTTAACTTACCCAAATTTTATGGTACTAAAGGAGACACATTATACCCAAATTTCATATATCACTTCTTATTGTATTTCATTCTTTAATTTAGAGACTGATATTTGGTAATTCATTACAGGATCCTCTAGATATAAAATCCACAAAGAAGACAACAACGAAACCTCAAATTTGAGTAAAGAGATGACGTCGGCAGGAGTTATGGTTTGTATGGATACGCTCAGTAAGAATGGAGGGTTAAATTAGTTGATGGTATTAGAACAACACGCAGGAACGATTACGAGTGAAGAAGAGGTGTCATTTTAAATTGGTTGTTGTGATTCCAAGTCACAATGCTGAAATAATATCTACATATTAATAAAAGATAAGTTGTTTCTGTGACTGCACATGCTTGCTCAAAATCTCCTTTAAATCCAACACCCTTTACTTTGTGAGTTGCTGGTGATTCTATTGTACAGAAGTGTTAGATAAAATTACATATGTCCAAGATTGTAGTATACGTTGATTCGTAATTTGGAACATTGCATGAATAATTTATGTGTGATTCTTTTATGAAGACATATATACTAAGCAGCTGAATATGATGGATTTCCATTGAATATGGATCAGAGTCTCTTGTACTAAACAAATCATCCCCTTTGACATCCACAAGATTGATCTTCAATTCACTAGAGTAAATAACACGACCTTTGGAGACCAATGTTACAGGTATCAGGAACACCTCCCCAATTAATGCAGGACCTGAAGCATCAAGACACAGATCTACCTGTGGATCTGGTTCTTTCACTCGGGTAGACTTCTGGCCAGGACCTTTCATTACTGTTATTAATCTCTGTATAAGAAACGTTGCACTACATTTTTATTTTATACACTAAGTTGTATTTATTTTACAATGCAAGTTAGTGAGGAGAATGGTGATGATGTAACTTGTCTCTTCAAAATTTTACCATGATGAATTTAAACAGGTTCTTGACCTTATTGTGGATCTTGATAGTTTTTTTGTTTAATAAATTATAATTTTTCATGGTATTTGTATTTTTAGAATTGAATAATTGTAGTAGTATTGGTATTCTACTACCATGAAGAGAGGAGATAATGTAGCAATTTTTAATTCTTTTCAAAAAAATAATATAATTATGGTGGTTGGAACCGTCGCTATATTTAACTAAATATATATTATATAATTATGGTGGTTACAACTGTCGCTATTTTTAATTAAATATATATTATATAATTATGGTGGTTACAACTGTCTCTATTTTTAATTAAAAATATATTATATAATTATGGAGATGTCACACCCTCATTTTCACCCTAGCCTTTCATATCCTACAGTCATCATATCATACATCGTTGGTGCATGGATTGGTTCGATGTTCTTTCGTCTGGTTCAAATAAGAGAAGTTGATCTAATCGGGGTCAATGAAGAAAGAATGTTGTGCGCTCTTGCCGGTTATGCCTATCATGGGCTGCATTGAAGAAAAGTTCATCGTCTACGGTTTGATTCAAGTTGGAAAGTCTACTCATGTAGATTTCACCAAGGAGAAGTTACTTGAAAAATATTACGATATTCAAGATCAATATTCCTAATGAACATGAAGTGCAAGGCCTAATTCAAGATTTCTTCATCCAACTTTGTTTCAAATTCTATGTTCAAGTGGAATTCAAATTTGCGAGACATGAGTCAAGATCACAAGTTCATAATTTAAGACTTCATCCATTTCAAATTCAATGGCATAAGGGAGACCCATCATTCCAAATTCAAGATTCATGAATTCAAGATTAGATTCAAGAATATTACAAAGGGAAATTTCATGACATTGCAAGAATGTCACATTTGTTACAAAGTTTCCAACTCTAAGTAAGGCTTAGAAAATTAAGTTACTTCTAATCTTAATTCAAGTTTCTAATCAACTTCATGCTATGGTACCCTTCATGCCCCAACAAGTTTACATGTTCCACATTATACGCACAAATATCCAAGGAAAATAATCAAGGTTAATTCAACATTGGAACCTTTCAAAAGCAAGACCATTTATGCTTATTCATGGGCAACTTCAAATTAATCCAAAACAACCCTATGACCAACTAACTCACAACTAAACAAACCATGTCACAAACTTAAGACACTAGTTCATGTTGGTTCACATACATACCAAAATTCAAATTTTCAAAATTCTGTCAAGGGGAGAAGCATGGACCACAAGGACAACCCAAGAACAAGTGGCTAAAGGAGAGCAATGCAAAAGGGTAGCAGAAAATCAGGCCTAGGCAAAGTGCAGCAGCTAGTGCAGAAAAGCAACATTCATGAAAATGGAAAGAAAGAGAGTGGCATATGTTAGAACACAAATTGGTTCTTAATATATCTCAATGTTTTGATGATAACATTAATGAAATTTTGTATGGAGAAAATATATACTCTAATTTTATTCAAGTGTCTTTTGTTTTAGATATCAAATAAATATCCCTCTGAAGACAAAAAGAACTCCTCTGAACATTATAACGCTAAGCTCTGAGCGTAGAAGTACAGCTGCAGAAGACTCTGAAGCGCTACCTACAAAAGACTCTGAGTGCAAATTATAAAG